ATGCACACATGTATGTGCCTGCTTCTGCTTGAATGTCTAGATGATGGCATGTTTTCTATCTGCTTGTCATTGTATTGTGTGTGTGTGTGTTGTTTACATGAAAAGGGGTTGCCATGTTTGGAATGGCAAAGCTGGATTCCAACTAACAGTTGCTTATTTATCCATCTAGCAGACATCAGCAACATTAGCCTGAAGTTTCTGCCCCCCTGTTCAATGTAAATTCAATAGTCATTCTTCTTTTAGCTCTGTTTTGGTCTCCACCAATTCCAACTGATCACTCTTAAGCAGCTATGTTTACTGGCTAGCTGAAAACAGCAAAAAAGGGAGTGATGAGAGAGAGGTAAGAGTGAACCAAAACATTAAACTTACAGGCTTTAAACCAAAACAATAAGCTAAAAGATGCTACAACGCTCGACAGACCCCTTTAACATAACACATATTCAATCATTGATTATTCCATCTTGACTCAACTAAGCACAAAAGAAACTAAAGACAAAAAACGCAAGAGGCCCTATCTACAGCCAGTGTTTGGTCTGTTCTTGGCTACTGTAGACACATGGCAATTTAACATCATTCAGTTTGGCTACCTTTGTAGATAAAAACGGCTCATTCTAAGGTAACAAAAGCACAATAGCTCTTATTTTTAGGCCATTATACGCTAATGAAAACAGGAAACCTATCAATATCATATTCCATTTCTGCCAATAGATCCTCCTAGCTAGTTTAGCCAGTTAGCATTACTTTCATACATTGGTTACTAAAGCATGGTTCCTGAATGTCTGGTCTTTTTCAATGGAAGATACACAACAGAAAAGGGAAAATAGGAAAAAGTTAGAGAAATGGTAACTTTACTCTCCGGTTGCCTAGCAACCATTCATAAAGCACAGCCAGAAAAACCTTAGCCCGGCCAGATTGCTTGGCTGGAACTTCGTGTTAATGAATGCCCAGCTACACTTGGAAAAACAGAAAGGTGGGAGTGTGTCTGAACAAACACTAAAACCTGCAGCGAGAAGAAGAATCTCAAAATAGTCTTTATGTGCCTTCCCCTCTATGGATTGGACGGCCAACAACAAATATATACCAGATTACACAAGCTATAGTGGGACTACACAACAAAACAGTTAAGATGTGTTTTGATGTTGTGTACAACCAAAAATGCACCAAAAAAACGTGATAGATAAACACATGTTGTCAGCAACAGTGGTAGCCATTTTTCCTCTAACCCCTTTCCCCACCAGCCACACTTTAGTCACTTTTTCATACACAGACAAGCAGAAAATACTATAATGAATGTTGTAAAAATTTTTATTTCTTTAAAAATCAGAGCAAGTTCCTCTGCTAGCTATCTTTGGTAAAATTGGACAGTATATCTTGATAGGTTGAAAACTCAGATCAGATTAATTCTGATGTCATCCACAGCCAGAAATAAACTGTGTGTGCTACTTACTGGAAGAAAAGTGGTCAGTTACAGATTATAAAGTCACCCACCACATCATTGAGGTAACCTTATCCATGTTTTTATCCCCATTTTGTTCGACAGCAGCTGATGCTGACAGTACTTAAATTCGGTCATCTTACTGAAACCGTATCTACTGACTCATTTCATTACTTAATAAACTAAACTAATATATCGATATACATGTACTGGCAAGAAAGACAGAAACCATCAAAGAAAAAGGGGGGAATACTTCTGTCTGCTTCATAATCCAACTACAATAAAACAATACAGTTTATCTTTTTGTTTACTGGAAGCTTGTCAAGATTTTTGTCTATCATAGAAATCTGTGGCCATCAAAAAAATGTATGTGACACATTTATTCCAGCAATGGGAACACTGCAACTACACGGCTGTACATTGTTGTATAACTGCAGTATAAGCGAGGCCTACAATTGGGCCCTCAGAGCCCAAAAATAGAAGCAGATTAAAAAGTGACAGTGGAAAAAAGTGGATCAAAACTTCTTAGTGTTTGATCATGAAAAGACTTTGCCACAATAGGAAGTTGAATCAGGGAAAAAAGGCTTTTGAAGACAATCACATAATGAAACAACAAAAAGACAGATAAACAGCCACACACACACACACACAGAGTCAGGGCTGTAGACACTTACAGCAAGTATGTTGCTGATTGAGGCTGATTGAACGCCAGTGAGTGCACTGGCAGGAGGCCAACTGTTTTGGGGAAATTACGAAGATGAGCAGCACATTGCCTGTCAGCTTTTTTTGGGATGAGATGCCTCATAACACACACGCACAAACACACCCGTGCAGTGCTTCTTCTGCGACAGGAGGGAGGAGATCAGGAGATAGCGGATAAAAGCTTGAATTGTGGTTCATTTCAAAGTGAACAATTCCTCAGTTTTCATCAGACGTTGCATAATTGGGCTTTCTCATTTTCTGTCTGAAAGATAAATGACAGATAGTTGGTGGATTTGAATCAAAGTGCAAAATGAGCAGTTCATTTGACAATAATGGAGTAAAAATACAGCTTCCCAAATGCATTTCAGTCTTTTAAATGAATACAAATGTGTCATTTTGTGTCATTTTAATAATTTGCATGAGCCCAATTGAAGCTTTCGAGGTGTTAAAGAAGATGAACCAAGTTCACTTCAAGTGAAGCATGAATCTGTGTTTGAAAATATATTTACTCTGATTTGTAAAGGTGAATGCTGTTTTTTTCTGCTGTCTTGCCGCTGAATGTCATATAAAGTCACAACACAAAAGTGCTGTTTTTAGAGAATAATTCTAAGATCTCCTTTTTCCTTTCCTCCTTTCCTGGCCTGCTTCTTTCTTTCTTTTTTCCTCACATCTCTCCAACCATCACTTTCTGTCTTGACATGAGTAAAAAATAAAGGAAAAAAATGAAATAGACCACCTCCTCACAACAGTGGGAGGGAGCGGCGTCCTCTGGGATACCGAGCAAGACGTCTTTGGTGGTTGCGGAAGCTCTCTGGCATCTGCTCAGTGTTCCAACACGACAGCTAATTCTGTTACAGGAGGTTTAAACAGTTCTGCTCGGCATCCTTATCGCAAGCACAGACCCAGGACGTCGGCCGCTGTCGTCATCGTTGTATAACACTTTGGATGTAAAAGACAAAGAAAAGGCAATAGAGAGGAGAGAGAGAGAGAGAGAGAGGGAGAGGGTGTGTAGGATGTGTTGGGAGAACAGAGCACTGTGATACATCGCTGATGAATATTTTAAGGGGTCCTCTGTTATGTGAGGAGGAAGAAAAATGAAGACACAGGAGGTTCTTAAGGAAATCAGGACATGAGGACACACTGAGACTTATTCCCAAGGAGGAACTCCATGTTTCAGAAGACAATTTCACTTTCATTTCTGTAGTTAAGCTTGTGCACTGCATACCTCATTCATACATAATAGAATGATCACATTCTGTTTTACATATTTGACCCTACACTCAAAGCCCCACTGCAGCCGGTGTTACTTCCTGTTTTTCTGTTAAAGTTCTTTCTCTAACAGATAATGGGGGTGTGGTTGATTTAACTTTGAGCACACAATCAAGTTATTTGGTGAACAGTGTGGCTTAATCAACATTGCCAGGAAATGACTCTAAAAACTATTAAATGACAGCAGAGGGCTTTAATGACATTGAGTGCCCTTTGTTAAAGTCCTTCTTTGTTGTGACAATTCAAGTTGCAGACTAGTCCCTACACTGATGCACAGTGAAGATTTGAGCCCTACATTATGCATCGTCAGTCTCTAGATAGTTTAGATTTCTTCCTGTGAGGTTATGGCAGCGGTGACATGACACAAGTTGGCAGGTCACCAAAACTGTTGAATGATTGTGTCACCTGTCAGTCTGTGTAACTTCATGTCAGGTTATTTTTACTACTTCAGAGTGAATCTTCGATAAACTAGACCTAAGAAGGAAAAATGCATAATTTTCAGCTTTGGTCTGAAATAAGTGATCCTCAAGGTATGAACACGCACCTTACTTGAGTAGCGTGGTGACAAATGTTTTCTCAAAGTTAGTCTCATATGTTTTTTTCACCAAGACGTTGTATTACATCTACTAGTTCATTGCAGGTATATATGCAGATATGGTTCTTCTTAAAAATGGAAGTAGATACAAGATGTCTCCTACTTCACTGGAGGGTTCAAGTTTCCACATCAGACTTGTTAAAGTTGCATGGACTGTCTTCCAAACTAGTTGTGTTGTCAAAATTGTAATGTAATGCATATATATTAAACCAGCGCAGAAAAACTTCCCCCTTCAGCAGAGTAATGTGAAAGCAGCCTTCTAGTGTCAAACTCTGCACATACATCATTCTGCACAGTGGAGTGCAAACATCCAAGTGAAGTAACAACAAGCTAAACTTTTCACATTTTTTTTGAGAGGAGGGCGATTCTAAAAATGTATGTGTTATGTCTACATGTTTTCTTCTTTTTCCGGCACCTCTGCAGAACTCAACTTATTTCCCTTATATTTAATATTCTGAATGAAGTATATGAAACTGCGCTGTGCATTTTTTGGTTGATAAGTAAAAAACTATCTCAAAGCGACTTCTAATTTTGTCACATACAATAAGGTCAGTTCACCTGTCACGGGAAGACTGTGAAAACACTTCTCAGTTCTTGTACTGCAACTGTTGAGTTGCATTATAGGAACTGTAAGATCCAATGTTCTTTTTAGAAAACCAGTCTCCCAACATTATGGAGTAGAAATATGAAATTGCTCGAGTACCCCTTTAACATCATTATATCCATGTCAATATCTCTTTGGCATGGAGACAAGAGGCTGGATTATGTCTTTGCTTTGAATATGCTGTAGGAGATTTTTGGATCTTAAAGAGTTCGGTTTTAGTCAAGTAAACCAATAAAGCATTAAAGCTGATGGCACTGTAATACTTAGCCTGTCTTTGGTATACTCCCATCACAGAAATAGTTTTGCAGAGATGAATGAAGCACACAATAAAACAACACAAAGATAATAGTACATTTAGGATTTTAATATACAGTTTTCAAGATAAAGTTCTTTGATAAACAAAGGGACAGTTTTTTTGGCTATATAAAAAGCTATTTAGAAACCAGTGACTAGACTTAGAGACAATAGTGGTCGTGTGCTTACATTTTCAGGTATCAAATACAGACACAATTTGCTCAGAGTGAAGAGGATACTCACAAAACTCAGAATAAACGTCTCACTGACTGATTTACAAGAATCACTTCATCAATAGTTTGAACCACGTTACTACACACTGAGCCATTTAGAATGAGCTATACTCCCAGAAATATGCAGAAAAAGATAATCAGATCTAGGAGGTCAGTTTACACTTACGTTGCATCAAAAAACAGACCTAAACTCACTGAACTAAATACAAAAAAAAAAACCTCCCAAGTTCTTGAAGTGATTTTATGGTAGGAATTGGCTGGTGCAAGGGCATATTAACTCCCTGGACAGGTTTACACATTGGTCCACAACACCCTAATAGTGATGGTAATAAAAAGAGTTGTCAAACAGGCTGCAGGGCATTGTGTTGCAGTGCTGCTATGCTCCTGCCAATCTCCTCTATTAACTTGAAGAACTGCAGGCGGCGCCAACCAGAGGCTACATCCACCTGGATCTCTTGGAGCTCATAAACCGGAGTTCATTACAGCCAGTGGGTTGCTGCCTCCAGCTGTGGCAGGAAAAACCCCACCCTTTTCCCACAGTTTCTGTGTATAGTGAACGAATAACATATGAGTATGACAGGCCTTGGGTGCTGTCAAACCTTTTGTGATTTATGTTTTGTAGTAATATTCCTGTATTGATGGAGCTGAGGGCAAACTGACCTCCATGCTAAGAGAGACACCCAGAGATAGTGTGCTACTACCACAAGAGCACAAGAGACAGACAGAGAGAAGGTGTTTGGCAGTGCAGAATCGTATGCAAAAGATTCATCGCAATATACAGTATACCAATGAACATCACACCTGGGTCATCACAGAGCTCGCCACCATTAATCTTAGTTATAAATATTTAAAGAATTTGAATTAGAATAAGTTTACCAAACAAAATAAAGGCTTTTAATCGACAGAAGCCTTCTACATACCTCTGCCATATTAGCATATGTATCAAATGTTTGGGCTGTTCAGTTTTCAGTATAACTTCAATTACCTGCATTGTAATAAGGTGTAACGGTGGTTTGAACCTTGCTTTGACCCAGGTCTGATTGGTAGGAATAAGAAAACAGATTTACAGTACAATACACTTGTAAATTTATACACTGTGAAAAACATTTCATTGGCTCTCCTTAAAAAACTCAAGTAATGAAACCGCTAAGGGTATTAGTGGTCAAGAAGCCACTAATAACTAATTTAGTGACTGTTGCTACGCCTGTAAAGCTTTCTATTCTCGCGTGGCACATATTCCGTTTACAACACCAGTGGTAGATTTGGCCTATCATTCAAAATTCTTCGTAATTATTGACACAATTGGTCCTTCATATCAGACAGAAGAAGACAAACGCAGCTTCTCATTTCTAGTTGGCGACTGTCAATTGTGCCACTGTTGCTGGAAGCTAGCTAACTAGGCTAACATTAGCAGCGAGAGGTTGTTGAAAACGGTGTCTCCGGCTGACTTTTTAATGTTTCTCACCGACTCATTTTAAAACAGCAACCCTTTAAAAGGGTCTTAAATATGCACTTGGTGACTACATACATGATTATTCAGAAAGACTGAGGCTAAAGCTAACAGGTCCTTAGCATAAAGTGAGCATTCCCAGCAGCTGATGATATATGCAGAGGTCAACAGCATTGTTCTTGTGTATTGTAAGTATGATTATAAAAAATGTGATGTTAGACTATTATACTATTATTTTTAACATAATTGTGTTCGGCTGCTCTTGTTTTCACTTTAAACGTTAAGAGAAATGGCTTTTAGGATTGAGGTCTTACCAATTTGCAAACACAACACTATCTCAGGTAACAGTGACCCCAGGGTTGCTGTAGTGTAAATTTCTCATATCCATTATCAAAAGAGCAGGACAAAGTCGCCAGCATTACTCTAAACTCTGCCGCTCTTGCCTTCAAGGTAATTTACACTTATGGTAGCACTTGGTTTTACAGTTCAGGAATTGTAAATAAATAACTTGTACAAAAATGAAACAGTTGCTTTATATTTACTCTAAACCTTGCAGTAATTATTGGTACAAATATATAATTTTCCGTATATTTACAGCCCATCAGTTGTATTTACAATGTAATTATGCAGTTTTTGGCACTTTTTTGTTTATAATAACTTAATATGTTTTGATTACCTACTAAATGATTATTACTGTGTTAATATGTTACATAACATAACTAACTACCAGCAATTATATTTCTGTACCAATGTAATAAAAAAAGTGTAGATGAGTCATTTATTGCATCTATAGAAGTCTCAATCTCTCAACATCTACAATGTTAATTACAAGCAATTAGCTTTTCATTTATGAGTATTCACCAGTGATCTAGTAAACACTGAGTAATTACTGTACTGTAAAATAAAATGCTGCCATACTTGAAGTTTAGATGTCACTCTCAACAAAAGCAGTATTTATCCTCGGAGATTCTCTAGATCTCTCTAAACTGCGTCCGTGGCAGCTCTGTGAAACTCCACATTGATTTTTTTTCTTCTCTTACCTCACTATTCAGTCAGAGTCACAGATAACTGTAATCTGTCTTCTTGACCAAAAACATAATACGCAGATCAATTACTTGCGATTCTAAGTTGAACCGATGGATTTGTTGTTTACAGCGCATTTATCATAAGAGCACCAAAGAAAGTGTACAGTATATATACAGCCCAAAGTGTAAGGCGTAACATGATACAACAGTGTAGTGCACATATTTATTTTCAGTCCAGTCCATGCTGAGTCCATCCCTTTCCATTATATTCCACCGTGTTATGTTCCATTACTTTCCACTCTATTCATATTCACTCCATTCAATTGAATCTGTAGTGTTTAATTCGATTCCATTCCACTCCATTCAACTCTAATTAGATTTCAATTAGTCCATTTTAAACCTTTTAATTCCACTCACGTCCATGTTTATGTATCTCTGAGACCAGCCCAGTTATGTTTGTGTCAACTGGATATTTTGCAATATACAATGTCAGTGTTGTTTTGTACATTTGGATTCTCCAATCCACTCTCTCCTCGCTGTGTTTTCTTCTTGCAAACGGTCATTACTGCAGAGACGCCCTGCACTAGTTTAATTATCATGAGCCTTGTTCCCATGTGTTCAGCATTATATGAACTGTACATTTGGAGTCTGTAAACTGAGTCCTGTATTTCTATAGGCAGTGTCAGCCCACATGTTTAGCTGGATGCTGTATTTGAGTTATTATACAAGGTTGTACCATAATTAATTAGTCCCCATAATTTTAACAGTGACACATCTGGAAGGTGATTGGCCTTAATTATTTCTCCCTTCAGATATACAGTACAGAGTTTCCTATACATACATATTATTTGTGGTGGCCAAATACAATTATCATCACAAACTGTTTTATTTATAACAGAACAGATTCTGTACAATCATTTCCCTATGTACATTGTACAGTATATTATTACCTTTTCCTGTCACTAAGAGCACGAAGCCTGTGCGGAACACAGCAGTCTTTTCTGCTTAGTTTTTCTGCTTCATAATAAGCTAATTTAAAGAAATTAACCTGATTCAAACCTCTTGTGAGGAACCAGACATCAAACAGGTCAGAGAGGCCAACTGTCCAAAGATATTTAGGCATACAAGGTCTACAGCGGGGAGGTTTGTAAGTCTTAAAGGTTTCAGGCAGGATTGCTAAAAATGTGTACTGACCCTGTTTTAAGAGCACCCCAGGGCATGAGGGAAAAGAAGATTTTGCCTTTTTTTTTTGTTTTCCTGGAAAATAAGGGTTATACAGTTACTGTAAATGTACATTATTATTGTAAGAAATGAATGTTGAGGATGTAGGACACTGGCTGAATGTGATTATTCAGTGTCCGACTTTATTCATGCACCCATTTAAAAATGCGACTAGACTAGGTAAGGCAAATCTCTCCTAGACGAGTCTGACAGACACTAGCTAAGGGCTGATAGCAGGCTAGTGAAATCTCCATCCCTGATGAGGAATGTCAGTTTAGCAGTTGGAGCCGGCAGGTGTGTAGTTACTCAGCTCCCTGCGGATGGTGCTGAACGGCGACAGCTCCAGCTCGGTGGTACACTCGTGTTCGTTATCGTCACTGGCCGTGGCCGAGGATGGCGCGTGGTTACAGCAGCAGCAACAGCAGCAGTCCAGGAAGGCCCTTCCCAGCGGGCGACACAGGAGAAGGAGTAGCGCTGGCGTCACGGCTGCCCGACAGAAGAGCAGCAGCTGGGAGAGAAGATGGAGGACAGACATGGTGTGCTCAGGAACACCGGCCGCCATGTATGCCGAAACTATGTTGCAGATGTTCTCAGGAACCACGCATGCACCGTAGACGATTGCTAGCGCCACAACGGTGCAGTTCATCTGGCTCTCCAGCCGGATCTGCTTCTTGTTGCTGCGCACGCTGGCCTGCTCTGCTCGCCGGATCTTGCGTGCCGTCACCAAAGAGCACCCAATGGTGAAGAGGGTGGGGAGGCAGAAGTAGCAGCCGAAGCACCACCACAGCCGAGCACCCTCGTAGGTCAAGCCCAACACGTAGAGCATGTCGGGAAGTGAGGTGGATATCCTGATAATGCACCGTTCAACGGGAGGCTCGTCCGGAATTCCTGTGTCCTCTGCAACCAGCTGCCTGATGAGGAGCTCTGGGAGGGCCAATAGGAGAGCGCCGATCCAGATGACAGCTAGCTTAGCAGTAGTGGAGGTGCAGTTCTCAATCATCTCGTAGTACATCTGGACATTGGTGGCCGCACGGAAGCGGTCGATGCACAGAGCACACAGGGTGAAGGTGGTCACACCGAGGGAGGCCACCTGAGGAAACAGACAAAGAGAAGTTCTTACATCATCAGAATCAAAGTCGTTTCAGTCATTGAGTACAATCAATGTACAGGAATCTGGCTTGCAAAGGCGTTACTCGCTTAAATCACGGTGCCTCAAGAATGCTGTTTATATCTAAAAACTCTATGCACGTGACTGTAGGGGAGAATAATAGAGTAAGCCTTAGAGCTATGCTAACAGTAGCCTCAAACCAGTGATAATCTACCATCTATCATTTCAGCTGACAGATGGGCTGAGCTGCGTGCTAAATACTGATGTGACACTTTTGCAAGTTATAGTCAAGCCCTGCAGGTTGTCGGTATTTAATGAATAAAAAGAACAACAAAGAACTGACAAAATTATCTCCAGTGTACAAAATGTCTGACATTATCTTGCAGAATCTTAAATAAGGGCTTCCGGTAAAGTAAACAAATGGATTCCCTCGCCTCACACACAAACAAAAGCCTCTCTACCGGTTGACAAGTCAGCCACCACCACATAAATAAACAGCAGGACACACAGTAATGGTACTGGCCTTTAGGTGCACCTGACACTGGTGTAATTACAAGCAGTGGAGCAACAGAAGCACAATGGAAGGCTGTAAGCTGCTATTAACACTGTGTAGCATCCCCAAACGAGTGCATGTGTGTGTGTGTGAGAAAAGAAAGAACAGACAGACCGAAATAGAGTGAGACCACGCACAGCTAGCAAGTGGCACGGTGGATTAAAAGCCGCCGTCACTGCATTCATTCATTCAAGTGTATTGTCACACCTCCCATTCAATGACAGTCGTATTAATTAACAAACTTCCTAAATATTCCGCCGTTTTTATGTTACCGTTTCGCTCGAGACCTTCATGTAAGAGCTAATTACCTTGGCAATGCCGCCACGTCCTCGATGTAAAAAGTCTGCAAATTGTCAGAGAGCTCACAAATTTCCTCAGCATGTGAAAGCATCTGTTGGATTAACAGTCATGTTGGCAAAGTGGGCACCCAGCTAAACATTCCCCTGCAGCTGGAGTGTGTGTGTGTGTGTGTGTGTCCATGTGTGTCTGTTTGCACTCCTGTCCTTACATGAACTAGTTCCTTCCCTGATTTTGCCTCCAGCACAAAATCAGCCAGAACAGAAATGTTCCGCACCCCAATCCTCCATCCCTGTCTCACCTTGCCCACCTTTTCCTCACTCTTACTCTCACTTATCTGTCGTCTTTTTTTTACTCTCCTCAGCCTCTGTTCCGCTTTATACATCCTTTCTTCCTTTCCTCCCTCCATTCCTCCTTTCATATCAAATTTAATTACAACAGCCAGCTTCCCAGATGGCCCCAGTGAGCCATGGCTTTAGTGCTCTAAACACATACTTGGACAGATATAGATGTACACACACTCAAGATGTTCTGTGTATCTAGGCCTGACACACACACACGCACACATGCACACACTGACCTTCTGACACACATAGATGTCCTAACTAGACTAATGAAGGGCGACCATATGAAACAGCAAGGGGTAAGTGGAGCAGACAAACCACTAACAGGCTCCAGCTCTCTGAACAGTAACTATGATCAACGTGACTGTGTTTTGGACCAGGGCGGTTTATTACCTGCCGCCACGTGACACTCTAATTGTAATTGTAGTGAATTGTTTTGAAAATGAGCCAAAGCAGAACAATGAATAGCCATTAGGTATTTAAGTGATGCAGTGGAGCAACTTGGAGTCGATTTAAGAATGTTTATGTGAGTGGTTTATTCACACTCTGTGATAATCCCTAAGGTGATTTGGGCAGGTGTCAAAATTCTGAGTGCGCTTGGCAGAGGTTGTCATCTTACAAGTCCTTACCCATGCTTGGAATGCCAGGCACCAAAAATCAAATAAACGCAGGAGACTGTGCAGCAGTCTTGAGCTAAGCTTATTTTCATCAACGTCTACAGGTGGTATAAACAACAGAGAAGGTAAATTATGAAGAGCTCGGGAAAGTCAATCACACTCATGTGAAGCTGCCAGGACTGGATTTGCATTGCACAAAAAAATGTTGAACCACAGGAGGACAGGTTGTTAAAACTGTCCAAAGAAATTCTGAGTTAAACAGCATATTGGATTTTTGGACTGTATTTGAGCAGCATATCATCTATCAATGTAGGCACTAATGCATGTCGGCATTACAATTTTACCACAAGCTGTCGCAGCTTAAACATTGTAACATAATTGTTTACGCCATATCATGTAATACACATAGAGTTTCAGTGGCCATCTAAACTGGAGTCGGAGCACCTTGACTCTGGGAAAAAGTTCAAAATCCATTTAATAATATATAGATGTCTTGTGTAACATCCTTGAAAAGACCATGGTCTGGAGCCTCTCTTCACTTCCACTATGGCCAAAATACAAAAAGAAAAATAGAACAGTTCACTTGCAACACGCTGCTGATACACACAGCAATTCTGCTCACTTCATTGTCTGACTCATCCGTCTGTGGAAAATTGCTATCTGCTATTTATTTCTCCATCCACAGTTTACACACTATAACATAGCTTGTTAGGAATATATTTTAGTGTGTCAGTGGAAAACAATGAGGAGTTTTTGACAGCTGCTGGTTCAGGCTTGATATTAACAGTCAAATATATTGGCCTTCGTAGATTGACCCTACATCCTCTGAAAATAAAGTCGTTTTTTCTTTATTCTGATAGTTAAAGGAGCATCATATCAAGCTCTATCTATGACCCACTTTTTTCTCTGTAAACAGGCACACCAAGCGCACCTGTATTCCCATATGTGGTGGATTTACGTGAACACACACACACACAAATGCCCATCGAGTACACTTGGACAGGTGCTTGCACATGGTGAATATTTCATGGCTTGAACAACAGGGCTGGAACGGCTTTAGACGCTGTCATGGAGGACCAGGAAACCCAGCTTTGATCAGCGTGTTGGGGCGGAGAGCAAGGGCAGGACGAACAAGCATAGCTTTGTAATAGAGGGGAGATGAGAGAGAGAGAGAGTCCAAGAGTCAGGGTGATGAAGCTGTGCCTGTGTGTGTGTGTGTTTGTGGAAGGGGGTTATGCAAATGAGGGACTGAGAAACCGGGGCAGAAGAATGGAAAAGGAAAAAAGAGTGGGACAAACTAAGAATGAGAGAAAGAAATGAGAGAGTGAATATAAGACAAGAGCAGGGGGACACGTCAGTGAGTTAGAGACAGTCCAAAGTGAGAAATAAAGCGCGACATCTTTAGAATGATTAATAACGTTAATATGGCATTTCTCCCGACAAGCAGTCTTAACCCTGTCATGTTCATTTTACCTGATGGCAAGATGACAGACCTGCTCGCCTCTAGGCTGGAAAGGGTGTTTCTAAAATATTATCCTTAAATCTTAAGTCTGCTTATTTAAAACAATGATACATTTTTCCAGAGTGAACAAGATAATGATTTTATCCTCCCCCCAAGTGTTACATCGTGTTAGTTTTGGACATAGCCATACCTGTTTCTGCCTCTCTCTATATGCTAAGCTAACCAGCTAATGGCTGTAGCCGCATATTTACTACAGACATGAGAGTGGTGTTGATCTTCCCATCTAACTTTAAGTCACAAAGCGTATATGTTTATTCCCCAAAATGTCGAATTATTCCTTTAATAAACTAATTAATAAACAATTTATGATTTGCAATTCATTTATACAACTATTTCCTTTGACCTCACTGATTTGCCAACTAAGATTTTAAAGTCACTGCTCATAAAACTGACAATTTGTGAAGTAGCTCAGTGCCGTTTTTCCACTTCATACCATCTATTTCTTCTCAACCTTGGACTTCAAGGGCTGGAAAAAAGAACATAAAAAGCTCTTTCATCCTCAACACATGTTTTTTAGGTTCTGGCCGTCTATCTGCGCAGCAGGTGAGAAAGACATTTTCCCCTGCTGCTGTTTTTAATAACGGCCCATTAACTTCCTGTTTAAAGGTCCTGTGAGCTGGTGGCACAAAGGCCTCGAGTTATTAATTGGGTCTTAACAAGGACTGGTGGAGCCTGTGTGGCCATACTGTGACTGCAGCCACTGTCAGGGTACTAATGGGTGTTATCAGGTGATGAATGGGCTAACGTAGAGATACAACAACAACAACAACACACACATACAGGCTTATAGTAATGAGCCAAGGAGACAAAAGGGTTATTCCAGCTGCAGTTCTGTTTCTAGGTTGAGTGCGTGACCCAGTGCAGGCTGCAGCGGACCATAACTCTAACCAGAGAGACCCTGCCTGTGACAGCCACCATCCGTCTAACAGCTGGGCCGTGTGTCTGCAAGAGACAGAAAACTGATGTATGTGAGTACGCGCAGCCATTTATGAGTATGTGTGTGTCTGTGCACGTCGACATTTATGCAGAATTATTAAAATTTGTGTCTTATTGTGGTTGTGTGTGGATGTGTACAAGTTTAGATGGTGTATATGAGTGTATGTGGGCCTATGTGTGGGATTATGGCAAACAGACACGTGAAATCCATCCTTGTGGGCTGATAAAGATTCCTCTCTGATGATGTTAGAGCACACAACTTTAAAAGGCCACATAGCTCCCTATCTCTGTTACAGTATGTATAGTATTGTACTCTATGTTATTCTAGCTTGACAAAAAGTTAAATACTATGTTATTTGTTTATTTATGGTTTATTTGATAGAGACATATACAGTAAACATAGACATCCAATCCAATGCAAGTATCATAGTGTTTAATTTGCAACACCCGTCCCCAGAGTTGTCATGGAGATAGTTGTTCAAATAACACAAGTGAGGAATTTCTGTCTCATGATGGAGTGGAACTCTCACAACAAGGTCCATTAAGTAGCTGTTCTGAAGCTTTCAATCAAATGATCCTACTCAGCAGATGGTGGAATCGTAGCTGACCAATTTCACTTTAAAGGAATAGTTTGACAGTTTGAGGTTTTTTTTGCCAGGCGCAGTAACTTTCTGGAGTCCTGTCGTCACCGGGAGGTTGCCAGGCAACGGGCG